GCCAAGGCTTCCGATGTCTAAGTCACCTGTATTGATAGAGACATTCAACCTCAGATGACCAATTCTGTCATAACTGCATGCTTGTATGCAGCGCCACTGTGGATAACTCAGGTTGACAGTGATTCTTTCTGTGACCCTTTTGGATGATGGCAAGATTATTTTGAAGTGAACAGGGCAGAGAAGATACACAGGATTAGCTCCAGATCCAGGATGCTGAGTTCATGGCAAGCATCCATCCTCACTGGCTGAGGTACCATTCTGGTTGGTTGGTGTCCATGCCATACTGGATTTAGCTGTCAAATACTGTGACCATCACTGGCATTTCCCACATGAATGCCCAACACAATGTATCAGAATTATTTTAAGTTAATCGTTATATTTCTAATCACATCTACGCATACCACTAGAAAATCTAATGAGATTTTTTTCTAATTAGATTTCTAAATGTTTCATTTTAAAGGTTATCTATCTCCTAACCATTTTTTTGCATGTCACCAAGCATGTTTAAAAATACCTATGTAAATACCTTTGCTGTTTTCAAAGAAATGTGCACAACTTTATGAATTTACATAAATTTTACATTTTCTTTTTACTTATATTCTTTTTCTAGCCAGTTATATATTCCCTAGAATATTTTATTTTATCTTACTTTGTTTTATTTTATTTGAGACAAAGAGTCTTGCTGTGTCAACCGGGTTGGAGTATAGTGGTGCAATCTTGGCTCACTGCAAGCTCCGCCTCCCAGGCTCAAGTGATTCTTATGCCTCTGTCTCCTGGGTAGCTGGAACTACAAGTGCATGCACCACACCTGGCTAATTTTTGTATGTTTTATAGAGATGGGGTTTCGCCAAGTTGCCCAGGCTGGCCTCGAACTCCTGCCCACCTCAGCCTCCGAAAGTGTTAGGATTATAGGCGTGGGCCACTGTACCCAGCCCCTAGAATGTTAATGTCCCTTTTTACACTTTTGCCAAAAAGAAGGAAGTTTCTGCTGGTTAATTGGGGTCACAGACCCCCAGATCAAGATGTATTCTGAAGGTGGCTAAGGAAGGAAAAGAGAACAGGGAGCAGCGACTGACCTAGTTAGGACTATTGTTCAAACCAAGAGGGTTCTAGATACTGGATTGTTTGACTGATTGAGATGGAGTCTCACTTTGTCACCCAGGCTGGAGTGCAGTAGTATGATCTCGGCTCACTGCAATCTCCACCTTCCGAGTTCAAACAATTCTCCTGCCTCAGCCTCCTGAGTAGCTGGGATTACAGGCACACGTCACCACGCCCAGCTAATTTTTGTATTTTTAGTAGAGATGGGGTTTTGCCATGTTTGCCAGGCTGGTTTAGAACTCCTGACCTCAAGTCATCTGCCTGCGTTGCCTTCCCAAAGTGCTGGGATTACAGGCCTGAGCCACTGTGCCCAGGCAGTTCTAGATATTTTAAATATTTTTCTGGAGTTAATAACAGTAATGACAGCAGTACCTACCATTTGTTGTATGTGATTTGCCATGGACGCTGTGTAATGCTTTATACACAGTGGCATGTTTGAGTCAATGTGATGAATTTATCTTGATGTTCGTTTTGGTTGATTATTGCACTGTGTGATCTGATTATGTGGGGAATTTGCTCAGATATCCGCTGCTCTCTGAGCCAGTTCCTCCTGTGTTTTACGACCTGTGAAGCCCTGTGCTGCTTCCTGCTAAGCCATACTTTTTTATTGAGCCCTGCATTGTGAAGGCAAAGTGGAATAGGTATTTATAGAGGATCCTTGTTGCTCTCCTGGAAAACCTGTGTCACGTGGTTGCCCCTGCCTCCCTGGAATGAGCATCAATCAGGTGTATTATCACAGAGTGACCTTGGGACTGGCCATTGTGGTCTAAGGCACTGAGTACCTGAGTCATGAGGGTGTCCAATGAGCAGGGAGGACATCGTGGCCTGGAGCATCAGGGCAAGGGCCATGCAGAGCAGAGGTACCTGGAGCCTGACCTCGAACCTAGGTATGGATCCACAACAACTAGGACATGAGGAGAGAGGCCCTGGGGTGAGGACAGCATCAGGATATCACAAGTTAGGTTTAGAGAAGGGAGAACAGATTAGCCTATCATGGTGGGAGCTCTGTTTGTGTGTCTTGGAAGGGGAGTGGGGAAGAAGTGGAGATGAAATCAGAATTATGAGGGAGAAGCCTGCATACTCCAGGGGCCCCAGAAATCATCAGCCCCTATAGGATCCAAGAGGCCAATTCAGCTGTGTCTAGGTCATATATTCGAAAAGGGCTCCACTTTGTTGCTACGTATTTGCACCTTATTTGCACTTCTCATTGGTTACTTTAATTATGAAATCCACCTGTCTATGTAAAACTCACAGGATAGGGATTCTACACTGCTCAATCAGTCCAGGAACAAGATAAGGAAGCCGTGGGAGTCCTACTGGTTGTTCCTGCATTCTCATTTATGATATCTAGGTATAAGAAAGAAGGTGCCCTCTTCATGGCGCTTGGGATTTTCCATGGAACTTGGGACCCTGTTTAGAGGTGTATCCTAGAATAATGCCAGGCACTCAGCAAGTGCTTGGTAAATACTGTTTACTACATGCAGTGAATTTTTATGATAAAGAAGCAGTTAGTTTGTTTCCCGTGCATTAGGCTCTGTTTCATTTTCAACCTTCTCCTGGTGCCTCTACTCTACCCACTCTCTTCTGCATCACCCACATCATAGCGTCTCTTGGCTGCTCATCTTGGCTCTTGCCATTTGAGCCCCCACCTCCTTCCTCAGGTCCCTACCTCACCCACCTTCCAACCATTTATACCCTTCTTGTTTGTCACATCTCCTGGAAGACAGGATAGGGATTGCGGGCTCCTGTGACCTCACCAATGGAACTCGAAGAACAGGTGGGGCCTGTCTGTCCTTCCCTCAGTTATTTGGAGAATCTCAGTGCGCCTTTCTCTGTTGCACCTTGACCAAAGCAAAAATGTATCAGATCAGCATATCTTGAATTAGCTTGTATTTTTTATCCTACTCCCTTGCTAAACACAGTATGGTAGTTGCGAACTACCGTTGACTGTTGAACAAGTTGGGAGTTAGGGGTGCTAACCCCCACCCCCCCACCCACACACAGTAAAAAAAAAAAATCTGTGTAGGGGTCAGCGCAGTGCCTCACACCTGTAATCCCAGGACGGTGGGAGGGCAAGACCTGCAGATTACCTGAGCTCAGGAGTTTGAGACTAGCCTGGCCAACATGATGAAACCCCATCTCTATTAAAAATACAAAATTTAGCCGGGCATGGTGGCACATGTCTTTAATCCCAGCTACTCGGGAGGCTGAAGTAGGAAAATGGCTTGAACCCAGGAGGCAGAGATTGCAGTGAGCCGAGATCAAGCCACTGCACTCCAGCCTGGGAGACAGAGCGAGACTCCATCTCAAAAATACACCAACGCCTGAGCCCTCACAACTCTCGTAGCCACTTCCCTTACAGCTATATACAGTATCTGCATTATTTTCTTTACTCTAATGGGACACCCCCGATTTACAGCTCTTATCTTAATTAATGAAAATAATCCCCTACTAATAAACCCAATTAATCGCCTAGCAGTGGGTAGCATTTTCGCCGGGTTTCTTATTCCTCATTGTGTTCCTCCTGCCTCACTCCAGCCTGGGAGACAGAGTGAGACTCCATCTCAAAAATAATAATAGTAATAATAATAAAAATAAAAATCTGTGCAGAAGTTTTACCTCCCCTTAACTACTCACAGCCTACTGTTGACCATGACGCTTACAGATGATATGAATAGTCGATTAACACATAGTTTGTATGTTATATGTAACATACGCTGTAGTCATACAATAAAGTTAGCTGGAAAATACCACATGTTCTTAAGTAAACCATAAGGAAGAAAAATTCTGTTTCCTATTTATTAAGTAGAAGTGGATCATGATAAGGGTCTTCAACCTTGTCGACTTCATGTTGAATAGGTAAGGAGGCAGAAGAGAAGAGGTTGGCCTTGCTCTCTCAGGAGTGGCAGAGGAGGAAGGATATCTATGTTTAAGTCAACCCGCACAGTTTAAAGCCACGTTCTTCAAAGTTCCATTGTCATTGCATTCCTTACTGCTTAATTATTTCTTTCCAGCCTCTCCGTGCTGATTTCTCATAGGCTCAAAGGAGGAGTTGGTGAATGACCGAAACTTCCCTTCCAGTTTTCCTGCATGGATCTCCTTTACCCTGCTCATCTCCCTAGATTGTATCCACTTGGAAAGATGGGAAACATGGTTACGATTTTTCAGGGCTAACAGTGGAAAAATGTGCTCAGGACAAGTTTTAGAAAACATAATGTTAGCACTATTGAAACACTAGACCTGCATTTATTAAGCAGCATCTCTAAGAAGCTGTGACATTAAAATTTCAATCACCACACTAATTTTTCCTGAAACCCAACAAAATTGCACTCTTCATCAGGTGTATTTATTTTTTGTGCTTGCTGTAACAGGGTACCGTACATTTAGTGGCTTAAAATACCATATGTTTTTTAAACACCATAGATGTATCATCTTACCTTTATGGAGATCAGAAGTCCCAAGTGGATTTTGCACATCAATATCAATGTGTCGGCAGGGTCACTCTCCCTCTGGAGGCTCCAGAGAGGGATCCATTGTCTCACCTTTTCCAGCTTCTAGCAGCTGCCCATATTCCTTGGCTCATGGTCCCTCCTCATAGTACCTTCCAAACTCTTCTAACTCTACTTCCGTCATTATAGTTCTCCCCTGGAGCTGATTCCCCTGCCTCCCTCCTCCACGTATAAAGACCCTTGTGATTGCCTTGAGTCCACCAGGGTCTCCCATCTCACCATCCTTAATACCCATCTGCAAAGTCTCTTTTGCCATGTAAGGAAACATATTCACAGGTTCCAGGATGAAGGTGTAGACATTTTGCAGGGAAGTCACATGGTTACACACTGAGACTTCTCTTAAAACATGAATATCAAAGAAAACTTTCTAATCCCTTGTTTTCTTTTCAGATGCAGAGAGAATTTGTTTATGCAAGAGGAGATGGCCCTGGGGCCTCTCGTCCTGGATCTACGGCTCATCCGCCCCATGCAATTCCAAATTCCCCACCGTCTACTCCAGTGCCCCATTCCATGCCCCCCTCCCCATCCAGAATTCCTTATGGGGGCCCCCGCTCCATAGTTGTTCCTGGCAATGCCACCATCCCCAGGGACAGAATCTCCAGCCTGCCAGTCTCCAGACCCATCTCTCCAAGCCCAAGCGCCATTTTAGAAAGAAGAGATGTCAAGCCGGATGAAGACATGAGTGGCAAAAACATTGCAATGTACAGAAATGAGGGTTTCTATGCTGATCCTTACCTTTATCACGAGGGACGGATGAGCATAGCCTCGTCCCATGGTGGACACCCACTGGATGTCCCTGACCACATCATTGCATATCACCGCACCGCCATCCGGTCAGCGAGTGCTTATTGTAACCCCTCAATGCAAGCGGAAATGCATATGGAGCAGTCACTGTACAGACAGAAATCAAGGAAATATCCAGATAGCCATTTGCCTACACTGGGCTCCAAAACACCCCCTGCTTCTCCTCACAGAGTCAGTGACCTGAGGATGATTGACATGCACGCTCACTATAACGCCCACGGGCCCCCTCACACCATGCAGCCAGACCGGGTCTCGCCGAGCCGCCAGGCCTTTAAAAAGGAACCAGGCACCTTGGTGTATATAGAAAAGCCACGGAGCGCTCCAGGATTATCCAGCCTTGTGGACCTCGGCCCTCCTCTAGTAGAGAAGCAAGTTTTCGCTTACAGCACGGCAACAATACCCAAAGACAGAGAGACCAGGTAAGGTGCAATGAGGGTAATTGAGGGTGGTACCTGGGCACGTGTCACTGTGGGCTGCTCTACAGGGATCAATCCGACAGAATAAATGTCTGAGCACCCATTTCTGCAGCATGCCCTGTGACTGCTGCAGGAGTCGCAGCGTGGTGTCAAAGTCACTGTTGTCTGCAGAGTTTCTAAATTGGCAGGGGGTTACAGCCATTAAGCCATGATCAAGAAGACAGGTGCACCAACAATAGTAATCAGTCCCTTGTGCCTCTGGAGCATGGATCTAACAGCATTGTCATTTATATAAATCTGAATAATTTGGAAGAAAATTGTCATTAGCAGAAGCCAGATGAAAAGATCAAGAGGTCATAATAATTGATCTGCTACTGCTAAAAATAAGCAGTGAGTGGTTTCAGTTTTCACTGTTGGAAATGGCAGGTTGTGTTTTTCCTTGTGGAATACAATTTTGTTTTCTCATCTGGTTGTGGGAAGTGGAAAGAATGTGTCTGTTTTCTAGGATGATAACATCTGAATTTGCATGAAAATAGAATGGCTTAGATTTAATATTCATCTAGGAGTGGTGCTGAAATCAGCAAAATTTTTCTAGTGAAAGACTCTGAGGATTGGAATTTCTTTTTAAATAGGTATGTTTTATAATTTACCAATTCAGAAGCTTCCTCCTCTATCTTGAAAACCAAAGTTCATATAGTATAAGAGAAAAGCTAATTTTGATAAAGAGAATTTCTCTAGAATTTCTCTGAATTGGTTGAAAGATATCAACATAATCATCATAAAAATCTAGCCAAAGAAATTGAGTCCAAAAGAGGTTAAGCATGCCGCTACCTATTGTTATATATGAATCAAAGGGTATGAAAAATAAGATGTCCTGATATTCACTTATTCAATACCTTATTAGAACCACTGCTTCTCACTAAAAATATATGAATATTATTTACTGTTACATACCATGTAAAAAGAAGGCCAAAATTGTGAATGGAATGTGACATGTCTACCTTACTGTTTTCATACACAAGTCAGAAGGCCCTGAAGTCCTCTTTAGCACAGTTTTATTATGAAAGGGCTATCCCTTATTATTTGTTCAGTTACAGGGAATATCATAGCAGAAAGATTTCAGGAGATGGAAAGAGAATGAACATGAAAGTTTTGGGATCATTAATGAAACAACAAGTTCTAACTCTCTTGTATAGCTACAATAGAAACAACAATGACTGGTCAGATGATGCAGGACTAAGAAAAAATAGGGATTGGAAAATTGTATTCATTCTCTCCTTCTGAAGTCCTTATGAAGTGAAATTCTAAGCATCAAAGAAAGGGACTCTTCTCATCACCACAGACAGCTACGTTGTATAGGATAAACACTCATAGTGGTTCTTTGGAACAGACCAATGAGACAGCTGGAGAGGAATCTACCAAGATGTGTCATAAGGCTTGGAAGCCTGTGCTGTGTACTTCACAGAAAGGATAAAAGGATAACGCACCTGTCCCCTGTGGTGGGCTGTGAGGTGCTGGTTGGGAAACGGTGTGTCACTGAGGGGATGGGACTTAGGGGAATGAGAATTTAGTTCAGGAAACAATAAAAATAACCCATCTCCTGCATATAATGTTGAGAGCCAGAATCCATCCTCCCTATCATCCCCCTGTCTCCCACACTGACCAGTCTTGGACAGAAGAGGATCAGGAGCTTGATTTTGCCATGCTCATAGTGAATTGTTTCCACCCTAATTCTTGGATGATAAAAACCTGAATTTGCCTGAAAACAGAATAGTTTAGATTTAATATTCTTTGGGGAGTAGTGCTGAAATGAGCAAAATTTTTGGCTAAAGATGGTGTCCACCTTCTTCCCAGAACCTAGCTCAGTGTCACCCATGTAATTACCACACATACATAACTTAATGTACATCCTTGAGCCTCACTTATCCAGAGATTTAGTTATGGAGAGAGTAAAACAAAGAAACCCTCTGCTGACCTTGGCATCTTCTCTGTATGGGCTCAACATCTTGAAGGATTTTAGCTTTTAATACTATAGCTATTCTTTTAGGGCCTCCACTCCTTTTTTTAAAAAAGATCTGCCAACCTCAGAGACTTCCATTTTACAAAATTTCTGAAAATTATTTGGATTTCAGTTTTACATATTAGAAAACCTTTTTAGAAAATACAAATTGTTGTATCTCCAGATTAATAAATATAAGAAAAACTGACTAAATAGATGAATGTTCACATAAAATACACTGTCATTATCACCACTGTATTCTGACATATGATTATAATTATGAATGTAATTTTACATGTTCACATTTTTCATTCCCTGTAATGTGAAATAGCAGAGGAAGAATTGTATCTCATACAACTTGCCAAGATGACTCCTCAGCTGTTAATCAGCTTATCTCCAGAGGGTGGAATTGCAGTGCTTGGGTATATGTGGGCTGGTTAGATTCTCTTTTCCTAGAGACCTGCCCATAGACACATTGACACACAAAGACACACACATACCACATGGACACACAAAGAGACACACACAGAGACACACATGTCACACACAAGACAGACACACCTACACATACCCCCATGCAGACACGTACACACACTCATTCTCTCTACATTTAGAGTCAGTATTGTGGAAAGACATAAACACTCCCCACTAACTCCACCCAGGTGCATGTCAAAGGTGAAGAACAATTCTCCAGTCAAAAGAACTTGAGTCTGGAACTTTTGCCCTTAGCACTCTCATATGCTTCCCCCATTGTTTCTTACATGGGACAAAGTGACAAGGGTGGAGCTCATGCCATACTTCCTCCTCCAAGGATGGCTCAGAATCTGGCCCTGAACTCTTAAATATCTTGGTAATTAGGCTGACATGTAGTATTCCTGGGGAATGTATACGAAGGAGGTGAATGGCACCTGTCATTCATTGAGAGCCTTTTATGAGCCAAGCACCGTGTGAAGTGATTTCTATATAAGATGTAATCATTATGACAACCTAGCGAGGCATGTACTATCATCATCTCCATTTTACAGATGGAGAAACTGAGGCTCAGAGAGGTTAAGTAACTTGCCTGAGGCCACAAAGCCAGTAAGTGGCATAAAATGTCCGGGTCTATTAATGAATCCTAAATGTTCCATACTGTTCACCACTGTGCACTATTCTGCCTTGCAAATAAGAATTATGAGCCACACTTTCATACAGCAGAGCAGTTAATTCGGGAGTGAATTCTGAACATTTTAACCAGAATTCTTGAAAAATTGTTTCAGGACTAGATGCTAAGTAACTGCTCCTAAAGGATATTTACAATCATAAACACAGTAAAATTTGCATAATTATGCTGCTAAATATATACATGCCATTTTAAATATAACTGCCCTAGCTAGTATATTAGCACAATTATGCAGAAATAGGGAAGAAAGAGGACAACATTCTTGACAGATTTTTCTTTTTAATGCATCTGAGTACTATGTCAAAGAAAAATGTTAAAAACAGGAACATCAGAAACAATTACTGAAGCACAAAATTATAGCCCATTGTCTCATCAATACCATGATATTATTTAGAAATACTTAATCTGTGTAAGTATTGTTAAAGAGTTTTCAAGTTAAGCTTTAAAGCTTAACTTCATGAGCACAGGGTCCTATAAAGAACCAATCCAATTTCTGTTGCAATTTCATAATATTAAAAAGCAAATACATCTGAGAGTGTTTTTTATATGAGACTCTCAAATGACATTTTACATCGAAGATGTGAAGCTGCAGAAACACAGGAGGGAAGCGGAGAAATCAGTGGCTGTGCTTTCTGTTGGCACCGCTGGGTTCCTATGCCGTTCTGAAGAGCACTTCAGTGTAATAGCCCAAATAACGGTGGGACGTCAGAAATCAGAGGGAAAAATTCTTCCATCCACATTCATGCTTAGAAGACATCCAATGGTAGCTTTTTTGAAGGAATATGATTTGGTAACAGCTCTATTGACTTGAAAGTAGCTCGCTCAAGACTAAGTAATTGAGTCTTGAGTCTTATATAAAGTCACATACCTTGTGCTATGAATTTGGCGTCTCTTTCTTTTTAAAGGTGCTTCAATGAGCATCTAGTAATAATAAATTGCATCTAGACTATCTGGAGAACACAATGTCTATGGTATAACATTCACATGATGGTAGGGGTCTCCACCCAGGAATACCAGGGACTTTGGGGTACAGTGACAGATGCTTTGACTAGCTGCTTTGAGTTTCAGAACAGCCATTCTAGTGTCTGAGCTTCTAGAAAAAGAAAGCAATCTTGAGTAATAAAGTGGCTTTACCCCAGTGACTTCCATTCAGCTAGGACTGCAAGTAGAGAATAGTCCTAGTGACTAGGAGAGACTGCCCAAGGAGCTCATGTGTGACAAATGGCTTAGTGTCTGAGGCTCTGTCTTTTCTAGGTTGTAAATTACTTCATTAAACTGCATCATTATTTCTATTCATGGCACATAAAACAGCCCTTAAGAATTGTAAAATTCTGGGACATTTATGTTTTGCTATTTTCTATTTGTAGTTCGGATCATGTATTGTAACGTAAAATATCTTTAGTGAAATAACACTCAAAATTCAAGAGTGCTCATTGCAAAGTGACTAACTTGCCTTCAAAATGTATTGCAGATTCCTCCAAATTGACTTTTCAGGACACAGTAAACTTGAAATTAGACTGTATTTTTACACTATTCTATAGGTAGAGCAGCTAAATGCAACAAATTCGTATAGAGTTACACTAGGAAGAAAAATTTTGCCCCAGCTGGGCACCTATATATACAGAAAAAACAAGCAACTTGAGTTTTGTTGTGATGTTTGAGGTTTGGTAGACTTAGAGGGCAGAACCTTCTGTGTACTGGAGGAAGCCCGCATAGCAACTGGCAGCTTGTGTCTGCTTTCAATCATTTCACATCACTTTCTCATCTTATTAGGATTCAGTGTTACGTGTTGGTAACATTTAGGGATGAGATGAATCCTTGGTTAAACAGTTGATCGAATGA